TTTATTTTTATTTTTCGCACAAAAAAAAATTTTTTTTTTTTTTCTGCACGTTTGCGAAATTCCGACGGCGCAGCAAACAAACAAACAAACAAACGAGAAAATTCGCAAATTCGATAAAAAAAAAAAAAAAAAAAAAACTTTGATGGAAACTAATTATAATCATTTTAAAAGCAATGATGCCAACTTCCGTTTGGAAAATTTTAACAAAATCTCGTCCCGATTAATTTAAAATCATCATCATTATCATATGATGTTTGTTTGTTTTTAAATATGAATCACGAACACAACCGAGATTTAAAACTTTATACTATTATTATTATTATTTAAAGGAAATTTATCATCGTTATGTTCGGTAATAAAACAAATGTATCCTTTGCAATAAAACTTTTTTTAAAAAAAAAAAAAAAAATGTACGCCAAGAAAAAAAAAACGATTCGGTCATTAACTTCAAGTACGTTTCCAAAAAAAAAAAAAAAAAAAAAAAAAAAATTTCAATTGAAACAAAACCAAAAAAAATAATAAATCCGTCTGAAAATTCAATCTCGTTCGAGAATTTATTATTATTATTATTATTTTTCGTTTTTAAATTCTAAAAATAATTTATCGATAATAATAATAATAATAATAATTTTGCGATGATCATCAACCGACCGACGGTAATTTTCTTGCAAGTGCAAAAAAAAAAAAAAAATGTTACGAGGAAATTAGTAAATAAATAAATAAAACTTACTCCTTGTGGGTTCCGGTGCCGGAGACGGAACCGGAAATCCTTTGCAAAACGTCCAATAATCGGGACAACAATCGTCGGATCTCGTCCTGTTGCAAAATTCATCGCAGTAACAAAGAGTACCTGCGGATTAAAAATTATTTATGAAAACGTTTCGCACGAGTATCCCCCGACCAAAACGAAACATTTAATTTTTACCTAAAATGGGTACCGAACATTCATCCATTCGTCCCGGACAGCATCCTCCTGATCTCTTTTCGCAGTATGGACCCCTTAAATCGCTGAAATCGGAGGCTCGAACGTGACCGATCAAAATGCAAATCTGAAACAAAATTCCGGTGAGATTTTATTACCGACGCTTCAACACACATAAAAAAATAAATAAATAAATAAATCATTTTTTTATTATTTATTTTAACGTGGTTGCAGACAATCAAATTCAAAACCGTCCGTTCGGTTATAAAAA